TCTGCCAGGTTTTCGGTTGAGGTTGTGGACACCCAATTATTTAGCCTCCCTACACAGAGGTTTCCCAAACTACTTGCCCTCTAGGGGGGTCTGAACTGTTATATTTAATTCGCCATCTTTTAATTGTTTAAGGGTTTCGGCTGTTTCAAGAATTAATCATATCACTTGGTTTTAATTGTTTATGCGCTTTAGTGTTACCCGCCCTGAGCCCGTTTTGGGAAGGGCAGGATATAAATTTAACTAATCAATCAGTCAGTCAATAAAAGTGGGCGGGGCAAGGTGGAGTCCCACCCAGGAGGGCTTCTGATTGCCCATTTGGGATCTGATTGGCTGTACAGATTAAAATAATGTTTCGGCAACAACTGCCACTGCTGTGTAGGTTTTATTCTGTCTCTGACTCCTCTTTCCCAGCGTACCTTTACTCCTCTTATCCCCCACACTTGAGCTTCCTCTGTGGGTGGATTGGTTCTGCCTCCCATGTTGCCATTTGGGGGTTGCGCCCATCACCCTGTGCCACAGTTCAAAGCTGCCCACAGTTTCACAAAGGTTGGGGGCCCTTGGGTCAGAGGGTGGGGCTAGGATCTGGGAGACCCAGTTGAAGTCCCTACTGTACCATGGAAGCTTACTGAGTGACTTTAGGTGATTCACACGCTCTCAGCCTGACCATGTTCCTAGGGTTACTGTGCAGATAAAATGGAGAAGGAGATGTAAGCCACTCTGGGTCCCCACTTGGGAGAAAGGCAGGGTATATACATGAAGAAAAGGAATTTCACTGTGTGAGACAGAATGCTGGACTAGATGGACCATTGAGCTTATCCAGCAGGGCTCCTTATGTTCTTATGAAGGCCTCAGCCTCTATGCCCTGTTGTTCGCCCTCCAGAGGAACTCGTTGGCCACTGTGTGAGACAGGATGCTGGAGTAGATCTTATCCAGCAGGGCTCTTCTTATGTACTTGTGAAAGCCTTGACCTCTACACCCTGTTGTTGGCCCTCCAGAGGAACTGGCTGGCCACTGTGTGAGACAGGATGCTGGATTAGATGGACCATTGGTCTAATCCAGCAGGGCTCTTCTTACGTTCAAGAAAATCCATGAAACCTTTGGTCTTCCAGAGCAACAGTGGCCACCTACATTCCCGGACCTCTGGAGCAAGATGGCTTTCCAAATGGTCTCATGAGGATGCTGACAAGGGTCCACAAACCTGTCTGGGGTCAGTGCCATCGACATTATATCCCTAAGAGTGGTGCCAATTCCACCCGGTTGTGTTTGGTACGCATTTAACTGTGTTGACACTGCTTGTGGACCAGGGCTCTTCTTACGTTCAAGAAAATCCATGAAACCTTTGGTCTTCCAGAGCAACAGTGGCCACCTACATTCCAGGACCTCTGGAGCAAGATGGCTTTCCAAATGGTCTCATGAGGATGCTGACAAGGGTCCACAAACCTGTCTGGGGTCAGTGCCGTCGACATTATATCCTTAAGAGTGGTGCCAATTCCACCCGGTTGTGTTTGGTACGCATTTAACTGTGTTGACACTGCTTGTGGACAGAGGTGGAGGGATAGAGAAAGTATATTACCTCTTCCGCTGTATGGAAGGAGAGATTTCCCCAGGGTTAAAGAGGAATCTAAAGGAAAGTTATTTTATCTTCCTGGAACAAAAGCAATTATTTTCTCCAGTGATCCTGGTGAAATGTGGAGCAAAAAAAGAGATTTTTTAAAAAAGGAATATTTGATACATTTCTTCTCTGCAGCTCCGTATCTGTCAATAATCTTTTGCTAGTGCCAGGTCATTATAACTGGGGTATAATTGGGGTAGAAGGTCTCAGAGTAATGCCTTTGATGGAGTCATTAGGATTCTAGTATTAGAAATTCTCAGTCAAAAAGGAATACTTTTGTCTCTCATAATGGCGACTTTCAGTGACCCCTGACTATTTAATAACAAGTGTTCCTTATTAAGTGTCCTGAGTAAAGACAAGAACTTTTCAGGGCTGCTTCAAAATGGCTGCACAGAGCTCGTTACTGTCTGTTTGGGGGGGGGGGGGGTGTCGAATTTCTGTTCCACGGACTACTAAGGACTTCCTTTAATCAGAGATCTTGGGTTTAACAGGTTTCTGCACAGGCAGGCAATCTAGGGGAGAAAATCATTTCATCATATCCAATAACGCTGAGATCTCTTTGTAGGACTGAACAGTCTCTGAAGTCTTTTTTCAGATTCTCTGTTCTGTCCTGAAAAATGTAACATGGGAATGCAGCAAATAAATGTTTGCAAGCATCTGTACTGTGCAGGTACATTAATCAGGGAGCCAAGATTTGCTAATTCAGGATTATCCTATCTCGGGGGTCCCCAATATGGTGCCCACGAGCTGTTTTTGGAAAGTGGCAAGGGCTCTTTTTGTAGCAGGAACTCCTTTGCATATTAGGCGACACACCCCTAGTGTAGCCAATCCTCCAAGAGCTTACAGTAGCCCCAGTAAGAAGAGCTCTGTACGCTCTTGGAGGAGTGGCTACATTAGGGGTGTGTCACCTAATATGCAAAGGAGTTCCTGCTACAAAAAGAGCCCTGCACTGGCAGTGTTCCCTCTAAGATGAGTTAGTGTGAGCTAGCTCACAGGTTTTTAGCCTCCGGCTCACACATTTTTGCCTTAACTCAGGAAGGAGGGCTCCAGAGCAAACTAATTTATGCAGTAGCCAAATTGCTTGCTCACAACTTTAATGCCAGTGGCTCACAAAGTAGATTTTTTGCTCACAAGACTCCACAGCTTAGAGGGAACATTGGTCACTGGCCATGTGGGGCTTTTGCCCAGTGACACTTCTGATTGGCCACAGTCGAGATTTCATTGGCTGTGCAGATTTTGGAAAACGTTTCTTCGGCGGCAGCTGCCACCGCAACACAAGGATCTTCACTGTATGCTTGAAGGTAAGCGGCAGCAGCCATTTCTGGCAGGCCCCACCTCCTTCAGCAGCCGTTTTGTGGCCGCCATTCTGTGGCTGTGCCCAGCATGCTGTATCAGAATTGCGAAGGTGCCCACGTGCTGGAAAAGGTTGGATAACCCTGTCCTATACTATGTGTCTTCCCTGAGCTGGGTGGCTCAGGCCAGCCTGATCTCATAAGAACATAAGAGACGCCACTGTTGGATCGGGCCAATGGCCCATCCAGTCCAACACTCTGTGTCACACAGTGGCCAATAATACCAGGTGCCTTCAGGAGGTCCAGCAGTGGGGCCAGGACACTAGAAGCCCTCCCACTGTTGCCCCCCTGAGCACCAAGAATACAGAGCATCCCTTCCCCCAGACACAGAGTTCCTATCTATACCTTGTGGCTAATAGCCACTGATGGACCTCTGCTCCATATGTTTCTCCATATGTTTCTCTATGTTTCTCCAGTTCCCTTTTGAAGCCGTCCATGCTTGTAGCTGCCACCACTTCCTGTGGCAGTGAATTCCATTCGTTAATCACTCTTTGCGTGAAGAAGTACTTCCTT